CAATGATCTGAAAAAACAACTGACAAAAAAAATATACAGGGGCCGGCCCAGTGGTGCAGCGGGTAAGTGCACATGGTCTGCTTGGTGGCCCAGGGTTTGCAGATTCGGATCCCGGGCGCGCACCGATGCACTGCTTGTCAAGCCATGCTGAGGCAGCGTCCCCTATAAACTAGAGGAAGATGGGCACGGAGGATAGCCCAGGGCCAATCTTCCTCAGCAAAAAGAGGAGGATTGGCATCGGATGTTGGCTCAGAGCTGGTCTTCCTTACACACACACACAAATACACACACACACACACACACAGATGGAAAGTAAGCATATGAAAAGATGCTCAACATCATATGTCATTATGGAATTGCAAATTAAGACAACAGAAAAGAGCCAAGTGAAGCTGAAAGGACAAAAACAGGTCTGCGTCCATGGTGATTGAGTGGGGCAGGAGGAGATCATTTGAGCTGCACAGGCAAGGGATATGCCAAGGTGAAAGTTCACATGCATGTATGTGGGTGGTGGGAGTGGGGTTGGGGCAGAGCTGTAGGTATGATGAAGCAGCACAGCTGTTTCTGTATCCCAGGCTTAATGATTGGGGGTTATTTGGTTCTGAACTTTAGATTTCAGGGATAAGTCAGGGTTACACAGGTGCTAGTGGAGGCACTAGGGAGTGGAACCCTGGCTGTTGCAATCTGTTAGAATGGAATCCATTTTAGGATGAAGCAAATACTGCTTAGCAGTCAGACAGACATAGGTCAGCATCCTTTTAATCTTTTGTTTTCTGTCTGACTTTTAAAGATAAAACTTAACCTTTCTGAGCTGGTTTCCTACCTGTTACATGAAGGTAGTAATAGTATATTTTAATAATAGTCCATACTGTCCAGTATTATTGTGAGCTAATATACATAAAGAGCTTAAACTAGGGCCTTTCTCAGTTCAATAAATGTTAATCAGTATAGTGCCTGTTCTCTAAATAAATTAACAATAAATTGTCCAACAGGTATTTTAAAGTCTCACAGTAAAATCTGCCAGCTATTGGTAGGTCCACTCCTATGTCAGTAAACATCTTGGAATCAAGATTCTACCATGTCCAGAATTATCAGAGAAGCTTCTGCTGGTATGATTTTGGATATATCTGTAGACTTTTAGGATAAGATTGAATAAGAAAGAAACTACAAGTAAATGTAACCTCGAGAACAGATATTTCTTTCTTTTGGTTTCTACGGTATCTACAGGGCCTAGGACAAAGTAGGTACTCATATATATTTATTGAATGAAGGAAAAGCACCAGAGACTTTAAGAAAGAGAAGGAACAGTTCAGGGAGGCAAAAGATTCACACACACCCACAGATACCAGCAGAGCTCAGACTCCCTTCCTCAAGCTTGGCATTCACCCAAGAGAGTATACTTTGGAACAAAGGAAAAAAAGTCCACAATTCAGCAAAACTATTTAAACAGCACAGTAAAAGAGGCCTTCCTCTGAAAACTGACATCCATTGTCTCCACATACTGTATAGAATCGTCTCCAGATGTTTTTTTTCCTGTCACCAAAATATTGCACAGTTATAATAAATATCTAAAAACAAATAAAAGCTGATATGTAAATTCATGGTAAGAATATGATTCCCTTTTCACCCTGAAAAACATCAGTGATTTTTAGCAAATAGCGACTTTCTCCAAGTAAGCCTCAAAGACCACTGCAAAACTCTCTTGTTTAGAAAACGGAGAGAAGAGGATTGCTGGAGAGGGTGGTTATAGTGGTGAGAGATGAGCCCCAAAATTGATCCTCCCAGGAGCTGAAGCCCAAGTAAAGAAAGTCAAGGGGAATGGACTTTATCAGGATGGTGAGTGAATTTGGTTCCTACTGCTGCTGTAACAAATTACCACAATCTTGGTGGCTTAAAATAACAAAAATTTATTATCTTACTGTCCTGGAGGTTGGAAATCTGAAAAGGGTCTCACTGGTCTAAAATAAAGGTGAAGGCGGGGCTTCATTCCTCCCAGGGGTTCTGGGAAGAATCTGTTTCCTTGTGTTTTCCAGCTTCTGGGGGCTGCCTGCATTACTTGGCCTCTGGCTTCCTTCCATCTTCAAAACCAGCAAGGGACCTGTGGGCCTGTCAAGTCGGTCTCATGCTACTTCACCGTCACACTGATTATTCTGCCTGCCTCTTCCACATTTAAAGTACCCTTGCAATTGCATTGGCCAGGATAATCCAGTGTAATCTTATTTTAAATTCAGGTGATTAGCAATTGTGGGGGAAGAGGGAGAATCCCCCTCTGCCCTTTCCCTTAAGGTTCTTATGGCTGGCCAA